AGCATGGTGTTTTAGGAGATCAAGCATTAAAAAGACAATATGTTTAAAAGACCTTTTTCTTTATTTATTTTTTTTTTCATAAAAAATTTCTTTATGAAAGGTGGGCGAAGAAAGAATCACGTCGTCAAGGATGGACGACCGTCGTTCAAGTGTAATGAAAGCACGATTTGATATAATGATCTATGCGATTTATTAAGCATTATTAGGTAATTTATAGGTAAATATCACGTCATCCTTTAATAGGTTACAATCATATAAGCGATTTATTAAACCGTTATTAGGTAATTTATAGCCGAAATAACCTGTCAATTGTTTATGCGACGTTCGATAAATGACCTAATTCTTACGAATAATCGAAAAATCAATAAATTGGATAATCACTTTTATAATTACCGTATATGCTCTAACCCTCATATTACTATTAATTTCAATCCAAAGCCTTATTCGTAAATACATACTTGTTTAATTAGGTTATTCAGAGTTAATATGATAATCCTGATAATCCCCATGCGCTTACTCGCTTGTACTTATATATAACCCATGAATAACCTAGTTATCCTTCCAAAAATCTTGAAATTAATATAACGAAAATTATTAAAATATGTATTTTCATGCGTTAATATAGTTGTTCCTATAAAGAGAAATTCTGATAACATATCACTTTGACTATAACCATTAAATTAAATTCAAATCAATTTTGCTAATCTTAATTATTTTTTCAATTTTGACTTATTATGTAGAAAAGGCCGATAAGAGCCGAATGCGAATGTGGCAAATGATCAGCATGTCTGATCGGATATAATTAATTCAAATGATGGTCAAAATTAAGATTGACATCCAAAAATTCAAGAAATTGATGCATGATTCCGAATTAGAGAATTTTTTTTTTTTAAAAAAAAAAAATCTTATCCTTCGTTTCATCGTATAATGCCATCTGTAAGGAGGTTTTACATGTGCATTAACAGTTTTCAACTTTAAAATAATAATACCTTTTTTTTTTCTCCCCGTTAAAATTGTGGTAGCATACTCCGTTAACTAATGATAGATTGCCTGAACAAATTTTTTTTTTTTTTTTTGAAATTATGAAACAATAGATCCCCATTTGCATGAAGCCATGATACCATGAATTAGTTTAAAATGAAGAAATATTTTTTTGTAAAACCGTAACGAAATTTTCGTTGTCAGAAATAAATATGATGAAACAAAAGAAATCATTTACATAATAAGAATGGGATTGTTTTGCCATGTTGCTTTAAAAAAAAAAAATTTTACAGTAAAGTAATATAAAAAGAATAAAGGAAAAAATATTATAAAAACGTCCGATGGATTATTCTTGTGCCCGACCTTTTTGATCTCAAAGGTTTTTCCCTTTGTCACTTTATTTATAAACTTGTGTATCATAATAAAATTAATTTTAATACCTATAAAAACCGACACCCGAATTCTTTTTATCGTAATTTATTAATTTATTCCGAAACGATTAATTTCTAAATTATTATTTCATAAAATTGGAAAGTAAGTTTTGTGTCTTAAATTTTTTAATATTTCTTCCGTTCCCATATTCTGGCATATATAAACATCGTATGATTTCTCCATTTTATTCAAGAAAAAAAAAGTGTCCATATGTTTCATCATTGAAACAACCCAACAGTAAGTTTAATTTATTTAATTGGTTAACTGAAAAAAAAGTATTATTACAATACATGATTTCCCGAATTTCAAGTTAAATTATGTTACTATATTTAGTTAAGCAGCATATATATTTCTGCATATGATTTTAATTCAATTATACACTATTCAATTGGTTAATCGTATTAAATAATTCTCGGGAGTTTTCTTTTTTTCTTATCTTTCTATTTATTATTTATTTAAAAAATGCTGGTTTCGCCGTTAATCACTTAATTTCCTACCTACACTCTCATTTCGTCCGTTACTCCTTTCTATTATAAGAAAAAACAACACCTCTAACTTATGTCTTCTTTGTAGATACATTCATCTGCAATTCGAAGCTCGTGGTACTACTACCTTGATTATAATTATCGGCTCCCTTGTTGCCTTATTATATCAATTATTCTTTTTTTTTTTTTATAAAGACTCTTAAACTTTGTCCACCCTCCTTAGAGTTTGTTTCTTCTTTCCTCACCAACCTCTTGATTGCTGGACATCAAGCCTTCACTTTCTCTTACGTTACCCTCCTATACCCTACACAACCCTCCGTAATTATAAACTACTTTCCTTCTTTATATTTATATATTATAATCCCCTTTTCAATATTTAAGACTTATTCCTTTTTTTTTTTATTTTGAACTTTTTGTACAATAAACAAAAAGGAAAAGTATAAACCTACAAAACACTTTTTATTTATATCATGGCTAATAAAAGCAATTCATACAAAGCCATCAGCAAGACATTATTGTCTTCTTTTGCTTTCTTGGAATTATGCCATCTGGCTACGGGGGCTATAATTATCGCTCTAGGTGTTAAATGGCTCTCCAGTTTTGGTCTTAATCTCAGGAGTGCTGTTATAACGGAAAATTTAATTATAGGTATGTTTCTTTTAAATATTACCCAGGAAAAAAATGGTCAGTAACCAATTTATTAATCATTAATCATCACTTCTCAAATTCTTTTAGGCGGTTTCGTTGTGGGCGGATTAATTGTTGTTTCATTTTTAATCGCATTTATTGGGTTCATCAATCCATTGAAACGTAAGAACTGGTTATTGGCACATACATTCTTCATCGTAATTACTTCAATTGCACTTTTGGCCTTGGGTGCAATCATTTGGTTTGAAACCTTGGATGAACGAAGACAATTTGGTGATAGATGGACGGGTTGGGGTGATGAAAGAAGAGGCTACTTCCAAGATTCGGTAAAAATTGAATATAATAATTGTAACAAATTAAATCATTCTTTGTGTAAATATCATTCTAAAACTTTTCCTTTTATTTAGTTAAAATGCTGCGGGTATAATAATCCCACGGATGAGAGAGTGATATCGGAACATTGCCCAGAATCTCCAATTGACGAGACAATACCACCCTGTATAGATTTAATAACAAAAGCCGCAGATAAAATTTTACGTCAACTGTTTACATCACTATTCGGTTTCATAACCATTGATATTTTTGTATTTTTTGCTACTATAATTTTGATTCAAGCAAGGAATGTTGAAGAACGATATCGTAAAATTGACGAAAAGCATGGTGTTTTAGGAGATCAAGCATTAAAAAGACAATATGTTTAAAAGACCTTTTTCTTTATTTATTTTTTTTTTTTTTGTGTTTACCGGTGGTTTAATTGTACATTTTTTTTTGTTTTTCTTTTTCCTTGTAATTTTTGGTTTTCTTTTTTCCTGCTACCTTTTTAGATATACCTATCGTGATTTATATTTTGGAGCGTATATTATTAAGGAATACTTCACCACGATTATAATCACATTTTCATCATCATTATTTTGTAATTTTTTTGCACATTTCGTCATTAAACATTTCATGGTAATTTACAATTATTCTTTTTTCTTCTTAATAATCTTTTTACAATCATAATAAAAAAAAAAAAAGAAATAGAAATATTATAAATATATTTTTTTACAAAAAACGTCAAAATTTGTTTCCGAAGTAACGATTTATGAGTCTTTGGTTATATCAAAAGAATTTGATTACTTTTTTACCTTCAAATGGGAAATTATTCTTTAAACTTCTGCCTCAACAAATTACCGTTTCTAACTGCTTTGATTAACAAAAACAATAATATTTATTGTGTTTGAAACGTATTAAAAAAGTGAAACTGTTAAACCAATTAAGATTTCTTCTAAATGGAAATCCGGACAAGAGTCCGGTATTATTTATTTTATTTTATTATATCCAAAAGCTTGAAGAATCCAATATCTACACGATTTTAAACTAATCTTTAAGGAATAGTCACATGACGTGTAATGTTTGTCATATGAAATTTCTTGTACGTGCAGAGCATTTATTAGAGAGTGCATTTTAGAGGGTAGAACTGTATATATTAATGATTTTTTTAAACATATGTTAGCAACTTTAATATTTTATTTAAAAATATTACTTTGAAATTTTTATAAATGTATACTTTATGTAAAGATTATAATTTTATAATTAAATGTAAATTTACTATTAAATAAATTAAATTATATATATATATATCTATTTATAATTATAACAATATAATGAAAAATTTTGCTAATATTACAAATATCTTATTATAATATAATTATTTAAAAAAATATCTTTAAAACTTAAAGAATAATTTTTAATGAATAAAATTATCTTTAAATTTTAGTAATAAATTTTTATTAAAAATAATTAATAAAAATGCATTTAAGCTATCTAATAGTTTTAATATTAATAGTATTAGAAATGCATTTTTAAATTATATAAATAGATAAATCAAAAGCTATTGAAATTTCATTTAGATTTTTAATAAATTAGAGTATATAATCATATTGTATTTTACAAAACTTTTCAGGTAAATCTTCTAGTAAATATCAGGATAATATTCTTTTTGATAATTAAAAAATTTTTAACAGATTATAAAACAGTTTATCCACTTATTTGAAAATTTAAAGAAAAAAATGGTTTTTTTCTTAATTCAATTTGTTAACTTATTTTTATTTCAAAAAAATGATAATCTATTACTATGTAATTTTAATATATAAAAAATTAAAGTTTTAAATTAATTTTTTTTTTAATTATAACTTTAGTTTAGTATAATTAAAATGACTTGTAATATTAAAACTATTTAAAATAATTAAAAAAATGCAAAACTATTATTTTTTTTGCAAATTGATCAATTTAAATTTTTTAAAAGTAAAATCTAAAATATTTGATACTTATTTTATTTAACTATTTTTAATAATAAAATATAATATAACAAATAAAATATTAAAAAACTTTATATATTATTATATGAAAAAACACATAAATGTTAATGATCAAAGGATTACATTGATCATTAGAAAATCATATGTGTCTTATATGTCTTCTATATCATTTATGATATATATTTTTTTTATACAATATATATTATTTATTTATTTTATTTTATTTATATTAATTTTTATTTTATTATATTTATCTTATATATTATATTTATTTCTTTTATTTCTTTAATAATTTTATATATTTTATTTTATATAAATTAAGAATATTTTCTTTTAAATTAGCAATATGTCTGATTCATATTTTTTTAGATAAATTTATTTTAATTTCTCTAATATACTTATATAGTATAAAGTGCTAGCTAAAATAATACTCATTTGTTATTGTTATTAAATAAACTGTCAATTGACCAATACTTTTCTAAGTTAATTATAAAACAAACCTTCTGCTTACTATTTAAAAATATTACTTTACTTATCACTTATAAGCAATTTAAAGAACTGATCATAATAATAGCCTGAAATTCTTTATTTAATTTACAGTTGATAGTATCTGCAATATCCAGTTATTATATAATATATATGAATTATATCACAATATTTACTTAAGCTGATATTATTCCTTTCTATAATAGTTGTAAATAATTAGGTATTATTAATAAAATAATTAATCAATAATAATAAAATCACATAAATGATGCAGTACAATAATTTTATAATTCAGAATTCTAAAAATATTGAGAATTCTGCAAATTTTGAAAATACAGAAAATATATATAATTTTACAAATCTTTAAATACTGATGATAATCCTAATCTTAAAAATTAAACAAAATTTAGAAATATTCAATATTATATTTATTTTTAATATTTTACTTTTTATAATTATTTTTATTATATTTTATATTTTTATTATTTTATTTTCTTTAGTATATTTATTTAACTTATATTTTATTTTTGCTAAATTAGTTATTTTATAATATAATAATAATTAACTATAACTAAAGATAATGTTTTAATTAGTTGTAACAGATAACAATAAATATCACAATATTATAACAAATTATAACATTATTAAGTTGCAATAAGTGACAAATAAGCGTCACAATGTTGCAACGCTATCTTAACTATAACAAAAAAAATTTATATAAATAGATAAACTCTTTACTTATATTATAAATTAATATTTTGCAGATTTGTAAACTCTTTTATGAATACGAGTTTTAGTATTAATAAAGGAATCAATTAAAATTTATATCTTTTTGCTTATTTTTGTTTTCATATGGTCTAATGTAATCTTTATACATTATTTATAATTGAGTTTATCATCTGAATTCTTTAATTAAATTATTCATAATCCTATCTTTTAAGTTTTCATACTTGATAGATTTATTTAAGTTTAACGTATAGATTTAATAAAGTTAAGAGTTAGAAAGATCCTAATGTCTTAATTGCAGTAAGCTACAATTAGTAACCTCAAATAGAGACTTATGAATATGATCAATCTGAGTTGAAGAATTCTACAGTAATAGTATTAATAAATAAATTAATAGTTTTATTTCAATAGAATATATAAATTTCTATTACTTTAACTTTTTTAATTGCTTGATTTATTGTTATTAACATTGTTATTTATACTAGCACCATAAATTCTGATTGTAATTCTTCAATAAATTTAGCTATTCTATCCATCTCAGCTCATTTATATTATGAGTTAACCCTCTTTCACAATTCTCCTATTGCTACAGCATATTTCTCAATAGTTCATCTGACTTCTGTTTCTTATGACTAAATTAATGCTTTATTGATTTTGTCAGAATGTATTATAAAGATATTGCTTGAATAGTAGTATAAAGGAAGTACTAGAATTGATTTTATTATTTCAATTAGTGATATACTGTCGTTTAAATTATATTAATGCAGTTTTTGTTAAATAATTAAGAATTATTTCAACAATTTGAGTAGTATTAATATGATTTACTTTACAGGCTTATTTAAAAGCTTTGAATCATTTCACTAAATTTTGATTTCTTTCTCTAAATGTTAGTAAATCTACTAATTGTTATTCTCTCTTTTGTTATTCCTGAAGCTATCCTGCTAAATCTTGTATAATTTAAAGGTAAGCATTATCATTATTTTCTTCTACAAGTACTATTTCTGATTAAAACATAGTTATAAGCTGAGTAATGATGGTACTAATTGATGATAGACTATTTGATATTGATTAAAAAATTACTATACTAGTAGACTGTAAACTATTTCTCATAGAGTTTGATAGTAATTACATACAGTTAACTCTTGTTATAATGAACTTTATGTCCTAGACCTCAACTTCGCTATAAGGCTATAGTGAAGATTTTAAGAGATTTGATTGGCTAATTCGTTATAACAAGAGTATTTTTATTATATTTGT